AAGTTTCTGGCCTTTTTTCCTCCTGCTGTTACGATGCTGAAGCCGTGTAAACACGTGTGTTTGTGCCCTGGTAACCATCCCTTCCCTCTGCAGAGAAACATCAGCCTCAGCAAGGCGGTGTTTGCCACAGAAATACCCAGTCGTGTGCAAGGACAAACTTTAAACCCTGGAGGAAGCCCTTGGAAGAAGCTTTAGCCAGGGAAGGAGCGAGCACCACAGGGAGCCAGAAGGGGCTAAAGCTCCACTGAATTCTCCATTTCTTCCATCATGCCCACTGAGAGACCAAAATGGGTTTCTGCTGCTGTGGTTTTTTTCCCCCTCCACACATTGTACAATCTTAATTATCTAACAAACTACGTTCAGAGATGATTCTGGATGGTTTCATAATTACTTAGGAATATTTACATGCCATGCTTCGAGTTTCAACATTCGGCCTTCTGAAGTAAGGGAAAGTGAATGAAATGAGAAAAGCAACTTCGGGCAGTTTTAAGGCACATACACAGTCCTTGGCTAAATATTAGGGATGGGGTGCCTGACTTAAACTGTATCTTTTAAGAAACCAAAGCAGATTTCAGAGCCCAGATGACTTTGTAGCAAATATCTGTGAAGGCAAATCAAAATTATGATCCAGAGGTTACTATTTTTATCTTTATTACAAAGATGCTGGGAGGCATATTCCTGGACACTGCCCTGTGGTCATTCCCTGGGGAAGCGTGCGAGGGCTGTGGCATCCCAGAGTAACGCGTCTCCCTTTGGAACTAAAAAGACCCATCGCTCCCTGTTGAAAGCACAAGAAGAATTTAGGTAAAGAAAATATCATTATTTGAGTTGGCCCGTGGCCAGCGTACCGGGGCTAAGACCTCGATCCTAACGAAGAGCAGAAAGGAATCCCAAGCCTGCTGTTTAATATGCATGACATGTCGGCTTTGCTGTCAAATTTTCCTTCCACCCTCTGCTTTTGTCCGCTTTTTCCACCTGTTGCAACTTGTCCTTATTCAGGCTGAGAGCTGGAATTGTCTTACTTCGGTGCTGCATTGTGTCTGGCACAACGATACCTGGATCCCTGACTACTTTCATTGAGACACTAAAGTGATCATGAACACCAATAATACTGCACAGCCCATCAAGACTTTCTTTTTCACATATATGTATATTTTGTAATTATTTTTTCAAGTTTTGATGCTCTAATTGTGACATCTCAAGCTAGAATTCAACTATGGAGGAGATTTTCCAGGATCTGTCGCAGGGTTGCATGGCTAACCGCCGGGTTTTAAGTAAAGTGTTCTTGAAGATAAGAAAAATATGCGAGTAGAAACAATAAAAATAATGCAATTCAATCTTATCAATTCAGGCAGTTCCAGCTTTTATGTGGCAAACAAGGAGATCAAATTGCATTTATCTAATATCACAGATTTTTTAAATGTCTAAAATATTTAATTATTTTGCTTTGGCAACCTAAAGCTGAGGAACAGATTACTGTTCCCACTACATAAGGAAATAACTGACAACAATTAGTATTTATTCTTGTTGCTTTTGTAATAAAAATAGAATTCCATCACTTTCAAGGAAACCTAAAATATTAATAAGAATGTGATGAACTGAGTAAATGTGACGCCATAAGGAAATGATGGAGAACAGGTTGGAAATATAGTGCTTTGGGAATGGATTGCATTATCAAGCTCGTGATTGTGCATTTTGACAAGAGCAGCCCTCAGATTGATACGGTAGCCAAAGGGCACTCTTCCTACTGCGAAGCCGTTTGTTTCCATCCAGAAAAGGGGGAGTAGAAGGGGAATTGATCCCCTCTGACAATCGATAGCGACTCCAGCCCAGGCTCTTCCACAAGAGGTCACTCCTCAGTGACAAAATTCCCAGGTGATGGCAAAAGGCAAACCACAAAGTGACCATGGCCAGAAAAAGCAACGCTGGGCTTAGCGGGAAGCGTGGAGTTGGTTTCATTGCCCATGACGTGACTGTCCTGACAGCTCTTGTAGTCCATACGCACAGTATGGTCTCTTGGTTTTTGGAGAGCTGAATGATTTCTGGGAACCGTGCAAAAAAACCTACCTCCCATGTGCCGTGACAGCATCTCTACTTTCCGTCTAACCCAGGTGCTTGGTTTCATGTGGTATAAAATTAGCGTGGCAGACCACCTACCAGCAGACCCAATTATAATTGGTACTAATTAGGAGGTTTTTTGGCAACCTTAGGAGAAAAAAAACCAAAAACCTACAGTCTGAATGATAACTAAATTACTTGGAAATTATGAAGTCTACCACTAATTTTAAAAATTATCAATTTAGAGCAACACTTATTTGCATAAAATGGAGTGGTGCTGCCAGGCAGTTTTCCTGCACCAAATGTATACATCTTCTAATGGGGGAGGTTGCAAGGGTGAAAAACGTGTTCTTGCTGACCCAACATTAGCTGCACAAATTAAATCAGTGAAATAGTTGGCATCGTAAAATAAAGAGTAATCTCTTTCCATGTATTTGAGAACAGGATCATGGTTTTATATATTTTGGTAATGTTCCCCAAGGCCATCCTTGGTTTCTTCTTAGCTCAAGAAAACTTCAATTAGAACATGAGTTGAATCCAAACTGGATGAGAAGTCACTGAAAAGCTGCGCGACCAAGAAGACGGACACTCTGTGAACTTTGGAAATTGAGCCTGACACTTTGAGCCCAATTTTCAATGAAATCAGTGTCTACAGCTCAAAAAGCATAACAGAGAATTACCATTTGTCCTTGTAGTGTAAGCAGAAGCAATTAGGATTAAACATAAAAACCAAATTCCTGCTACTAAGTCTCTAGGGGCAGTCTCGCCAGTCTTAAATTAAAGAGTAAATTACTGGCATACTTTGGTTGGAATATACCTGTCCTTTATATACTTGTGCTGCTAAAACCCGCAATGACATAGCAGTACCAAGTCTAAAACTGGACATTTTTTGCAGCCTTTAAAATGTAGAGAAGGTAAATATAAATGAGTCTGAACTGTCTGAATATTTCATTAAAGATCATCGGGGGGGGGGGGAGGGGTGGGCCGGCTAACACATCAGTTGCTCATCTTCTGTGTTAAACGGGAGGAGTTTCAAGCCATCTTTTAAAAATCTCCTTTGTTTGGATTTGGCATTGACAGTAGTCAATAATATAAGAGCACTGCTAAATTATAAAATTGTTAAACTTTGTAAGAACTTTATAAACACACTTGCAGATATTGCACATATCTTCTCTGTGCTCTGCAGTCAAACTGGACAATGAAACGACCACCTGTTAACTGCTAACAATGTGTCATTACCAGTTCTCATGCCTTTTTAAAGCAATTTTGGCTCTAGCTGCCGATAATTCTGGCTACGATACTTGTGTGAACATTAAGGGCACAGAAAGCCAAAGGCAGAAAACTGACAATACAGTTTGTGCTTAGACTACTAATAAGTAAGTGAATAATATGATTTTTCTAATTCCACATAATTACTTGATCTCAAGGGGCCAAAAAAAAGTTCTGAATACATATTTTAGAAGCAATCCAATCTACAGTATTTAAATGCAAGCTTCGATTCAGTGAGATTTCACAGCAGACATTTTCACATTTTTTAATAGTTTAAATAGCCTTCAACAAAACAGGGGTTATTCAGGATTCTCTAAGGTTTGAAAAGCAACGTAGACTAAGTCTCTGTCACTGCTCATAGTAACTTTTTCTGTTTTGTCTGACAAATTATCATTCAAAGATATGTGAGAAATCTAAATAAATAAATAAAAATTCCCCGAGCGCTGAGGCAGTTTATGGGAAGTTTGCTATTAGCTACGATAAGAGCAGAATCACACCCTCAAAACTTACCGTGCTCTCAGTCTTATTTTTCCCCCACCGAGAAATGCAACATAACACACAGTACAAAGATATTGGGACAATTTTTCACGAGCTACATTCAGGCTACTTTATATTTTATAACAGAAAGAAAAAAAAACCTCAAATCTCCAAGATAATAAGAAAACAACAACAACAAGCAGCTTTGGTCTGCAAAAAGAGACTGTGTAATGAATCTCTGTACTTGTGTGTGTGTGTGTGTGTGTGTACGCACGCACACATGTGCGCATGTATTTATGATTGTGTGGATAATTACCATTAAAAATAGCTAAGTTGGGTCTTTTTAATGCGACTCTTTTCTTAACATCTAAGGCTTTGATCCTGCACTGAAATGCATGCGGGCAAATTCCTACACAGCCCTTCGATACCTATAGGTATCTCATACCAGCATGCGAGTCTAAAGCTGTTACGGTGCTTACATTAGAAGCAGTATGTGAATCTCCTGCCAAACAAAGAAGAAAAACAAAGATTCAAGAGAGAGGATGAAACTAAAAAAAATGCTGAGTGAGCGATTCAGGGTCACCACCAGCTCCGGCATTGACTGCCCACAATATCATGAACGTCTCAGCACAAACTGGGAAAGGAAAGTCTCAGTGGGGTAAAGCACATCCCTGCTAGTTTTAGATCACTTTCTTTTCCAATCACATGGACAAAAATCAACCTCAATCCCTGGAATTTACCTTCTATAAAATTATAGATACATCACTGATTGTCGGCTACAGAGGATTTGTCAGGTCTTTCAGCAATTCAGTGTATAAATATACCACAGACAAAATTACTCTGGCAATTTGAGGTATTTTACTAAAATGGAAACAAAGCAACTGCAACAAACCACTAACATAGGACTTATGTTGCTTATTTTTAAAAACAAATGGCTAAAATAAATGTCTCTGCTCCTAAACAAATTTATTTTGCTTAGGAGAGAATGTCACCCTTTAAAAGTGTCGAGCTAGTAACTGTCTTTGCTTAAATGCAAGTTATGTATATCAGCACAGAACACATTCAGCTTTAAAATTCTCAGTGATCTTCCGTACATTCTGTATGTAATAAAAATTATCTTACCCTGTAATGGCATAGTTATTTAAAAAGGAAGAAAGAAAAAAAAGAAAAAAAATCAGAAAAGAAAAAAGCCTTACTTAAAGATTTTCTGTGTTCAGGCTTTGGTTCTTTGGATTCAGTGTCTAAGCTATTCAGTAATTCGATGCTGGAGGATCTTCTGAGTTTGAACTCCAAATTTCTTGATGTACAACTCCGTTCTTTTGGCTGGGAAAAGAATACATATATACAGACCTATGTGTATGCTTTTAATAAAATTATTATTTGAAAGAATGAAGCAAGAGATTACAGAATGCCAGTACAAAATCAGAAGCTAACAGACACACACAGAGCAATTGATGCAGTGAGTATATAATTTAAGGAAAGTGTAATGCAAAATTTGTCGTATGGGAGAGTTTTTATGGCCCTGACGGACTGATCTTAATTTCTCAGATAAATTCCCATTCAAGTGAGCAAAACAAAAGGCCTATTTCTTTAGGCTTTAGAGACCAAAATTATTTCCACATTGCAGGCTACTTCCAAATACTTGCAAAGAGGAAGGTTGTTTAAATTGCCTTTCTGGTTTAGATAGTTACAGTTAATATTCTTGCAAACACAATTGTTTCAAATTTGGGGTTGAATTCTGCTGGTCTAAGCTTAGGAAAGAGCGGGCGAACTTCTCTCTTGCTCTAATTCACGGGCATACAAAGTGACAGTTAGGGACCATTAACGGAGAAAAGAAGAAAAAAGAAGAAAAAAAAAAAAAGGAGATGACATTTTGGCTAATCACACATCTCTGTGGCATGTGGTCAGGTGAGATTTAGCCATCCCAACAGCCTGCAAAGCTGCAAGGCTTAAATCACTCATTCAAAGTTTTAAAACTGAAATAAATGACACATCTGAAACAGTCACTGAGTGCGTCGTGGTGGCATCCTGTCCTGCGCACACAGCAAAGGTAAACCTTCCCCAAAGGTAAACCTTCCCCAGGACAAGCCCTGCCCTCTGGTACCCCAACCATTTACAAGTTGTGCCCCAACAGCCACTGCTGCTGTGGTTCGCTGCACGCTCACAGCTGCTGATGCCACAACATTACCTTAGTTGCACTAAAAAAGAAAAAAAAAAAAATCAAGTGTATTAGATGTTTAGTTGAATAACAGGCCAAAATAAAAAAAAAAAAATAAATAAAAAAAGTGTTCTGAGTCTCCATGGAAAACTCCACCCCAAAATCTTCAGGAGGATATCAATATCCTCACACACCCAATGAAATGCACAATATGAAGACATACATCATCAGATCAAACTTTCCTTGGCTGATTATAGCCTCAGGGTAATATAATGTTTGTAGCTCTTTAAGGAAACAGTAGCCGTGTTCAGATTAACCCTTTCAAAGAGGCTGTCTCTGCCCGCTCTGCCAATTCCATTGCAGCAAAACCTCTGAAAAATGCAAGAAATGGGGATATTTTTCTCTCACCAGATTCTGCAGTGAACAAGAAAAGTCGGTGCCCTCTAAAAAAATAGGTTCTTGGATCAGGCAGGGATAGGAGGAAGATATTTGGAATTTGTACTGAGAGTGGCAAAAAAAGAAAGAAAAAGCTACAGCTGAATCTGGTTTGGTAATTAAAAACTGTTTTAATAAAACACAGCCCTGCTTACTTCTAGTAGAAAACCCCCAGCCTTCCTGGGAGAATAACAGCAATCAGTTACAAAGGAATATTATTTGCTAGTGTTATTCTTGTGAATAAGTAATACAAAAATTCATAAAAGGCTCAAATGTATTAATAGTTCTATTGAAGATTATATACTGTAGGCTGCATAAACAGAAAATGCAAAAATTCATTAGTTATTAAGTGCTTGTGTGCTTTTACAACCCTCAGCAAACCAATGTCCTTGTTATTTCAGAGAAATAAATGTAGCGTTCCGTTTCGAGGCAAGAATCAAATGACATTTTTGTTCAACAATCTTGTTTATCTGACATTTTTTAGTAGATTTGCATACATATTTTTATATCCTTCAGAGAAAGGAATGTCTAGCTAGCTGCTGACTGCCTAAAACCTGTAGACATGCCTAAGCAAATGAAGTTGAAATTGCTACATCTTAATTAATAAAGGTAACAGCCAAAACAAATACATACCAATCTGTCAATTGCATTTTTGATAGCGTGGAACCAATCCAATATGAGAAAGTCGATATCCGACTGGAGAAGGAACTCATTTCCTGACACTGTCGTGATCTGGGGAGGGCATGGGCACACACAGGTAAGTAAAGCACACACCAGACAGATGATTTTCTTCTGTTTTCTCTCCTACGCACCCAAATGCTTTTCCTTTGTACCACGAATTATCTCCTGGAGTGCTGAGTTACTGAGGAGTTTTCAACCTCTGTCTGAAAACTGTTTTGAATATGTCACAACAAACGAGATATTGTCTCAGCAATGCAACCACCGAACACAAATAGTGCAAAAATAATGGGAATGTGACAAAAGTTACGAAAAGCCAGGAAACTCAGTGTTACAAGACACAGTTCAAATGTAAATCAAAGCACCCTGAAAAGAAATGAATGCAATATGAGAATTAATTTCTGTTATTGTCAGTCTCCATTTCTGTTTTGGTAGTCTATTCTGGAATTTATACATTTATTATATACCTGTGATTCCAAAATCCACTTCCAAGCATTTTGGTAAAAATAATGTCAATCTTTTTCACATAAAAAAAAAAAAATTACCATCAAAGATGGCTGTAGCAGAGTAATTAGGAGCCCATTTATCATGAAAAAAAATCCCCAGTTTATCTGAATAGAAGTCGATTTACATTTTTGACCCACTCACTGGGAATATTTATCAAAAGAATATTCAATCCCCTGATAATGCTGTTTCACTGCCTAACAATATTTGGTGGAAATATGCATTCATTTTCTGTTGGTCTGAACTTCTGTAAACCACTGTGATCATAATGATACATCACTTTTTTTTCTTTTTTTACAGATATATATCTTTTCACCAGAGCAGATCGCCAGGTATTTTACACAGCAGGTCAAAACAACCATTTTACAGATGGCAAAACTGAGGCACAGAGCTGCGCAGTGTGTTGCTCCAGGATAATTCAGCAGAGCCCTGGTGCCTGTGGCCACGGATCATGATCCAGGGCACAGCAGTTCTGTGTGTTTGCAGACAAGTGAATGCAGGGCTCCATCTTCACCACATTTTGCAATGGGCAGAAGCTTATCCTGCTCAGCTCCCGCCAGCTCTGAAACCAAAGCTTTTTTTTTTTTGTTGTTGTTGTTGTTAAGAATTGCCTGTGCAAAACTCTGTAGCATCCACAAGTGGGAATTGCACATTTGGGTTTCAGTGTTTTGGGGATGCAGGTTTAGTCTGAATGCTTATTGGGGCATGGCATTATTCAGGACCAAAACTTTTTCAGGTATTTTTCAGCGAACAGCTGAACACAGTGAACAACAGAGATTTCTTCTGACCAAAAGCGTGAGGAAAAGCAGAGCAAAGCCATTAAGACCTGGCACAGCCTTCTCATGTAAATCCATCAACCTGAAGTGCTACTGTTCCACTGCATCTGCCCCATGTCAAGAGTTTGTACTAAAACATAAAAAACCCAACACATCCTCACCAGTCAGGGTGCTTCCCACATCTTTCTTAAAACCAAAACACTACCAGGAAAAAAAAAAAAAAAAAAAAAAAAAAAAAAACAAAAAAAAAAAAAAAAAAAAAAAAAGGACAAAACAGCTTAATGTTTTATTAATTGTTCTATAACCCTCCCTTTATTGAGGAAATGCCTGTAAGGAAGGTTTCCAAAGTCATCAGCATTAAGGAAAATCCCATCAGCGCAGCTCCAGCGGAGACATCCTGTGAGAGCGCTGCGGAGAATGTGGGAATGGTCCCCTGGCGTGGGCTCGGAGGCTGCCCAGCTCCAGATGTTCATCCCGTCCCGTCCGTACCCGTCAGGAGCAGACGGACCTCCAGCCATGCCCCTCTGCGCATGGGAGAGTCATTCATTGGGGAAATTTTAATTCCCTTCTTAGTCCACAGCCATCATGTTAATCACTATTCACACACTCATTGTTCCCTTTATCAAAAATAATAGTAAAAAAAAAAAAGTCAAAATTGAACTTAAGGTGAGCAGTTGAAAGAACTGACCTCTAGTTCTGTGCCCGGCTCAAACGGCAAGGTTCAGGTTCAAAATGTATTATGTTATATCACAATTTATTAATGTATACATGCAGATATGAATTAGACTAAACACAGGCAACAATTCAGCCTAATGCCTCTCTCCCAGTATAAACAAATCATTATTAAAATTATAAAATGGAGTAACATTTTCAAAGTAAGAGCAACATATATAATTAGATTTACTGTATTCTGAAGGCTTAAAAAGGACACAACATAGTTCAGTTTTCTGTTCAGTAAATTCAGGCTTTATGAAAATACAAGTGTTCAGCACTGCATAAACATTCACACTGTATGATATGCAAAAGAGATACTCCATTGCTAACAAGACCAAAGCAAAATACATGTCGAAAGTTTCTTTGACTGAATGTGTTATTTTGCTAATCATACATTATCAGTGGTTTATGAGCAAATCTGTAAAAACAGATCATAGAACGGAGGGAAGAGAATTCATTTAAAATATACTTTCTGCAAGATATAGTTCAAGTCTTTTTCTTTCTTTCCTCAGACTAATCTTTAGAGTAACTAGACAGTTTCAAGAAGACTGCTGCTGCTCTCTACAGTTTAAATGCATCCACTCCTTAATTACAGTCAGTAATTGACTTTGTTCTGCTCCATTCCAGTCATTCACAGGCAAGCAGTTCCAAAGGCTTTGGCTGGTAAATCCCATTTAATGTGCAGGTTTCCTATCCCACTTTTATATATTACCTCCTTAGGATTTCTGATAAATGGTTCTTGGAAGGGATTGCTAAACCATATTTGCACTTTGAACAATCGAATTTTCAACACCCTTGGGAAAAGACATCAGTAAAGAATGCTAGCTTTGACTAAACCTTGTGATTGAACAATTTATGATCACAGCCCTAAATGATGTATAACTAACAACAAGCACAAATTGTTCAATATTAAGGCGTGCTAACACACCGTCCCTGTATCAGGCACTGCTGAAATAAATAGAGGACTGGAGAAACAAATGAAAGACAAATCTAAAAAAAAAAAAAAAAGAAAATGAAGTGCTCTAGATAGAGCTGCCAGTCTCCATTGTGCCAGGTACTTCACTTATTTACGTATTTCCTGAAATCCCACTCTCTTTGCCATCAGTTTTGCAAAGGCTACAGTCTGGAATTAGCATTACCTTACCATGCAGAATTATGATGCTGCTGTTGGCAATAAATACCCACATGGAATGACAACTGACATTAACCCTCTTATTTGCACAGTGTGCCCTTTAGGTTGCTTATAGAAGAGCCAGGATGTCTGGATTCTCTCTTTCTTGCTCTAGCACCTTGGAAAAATCACTTCAAAGGCTGGATCCACTCACATGGTAGTTTTACAATGAACTGTAGTACAGTCCTGCTGTTAAGCATTGATCCTCTGAAAATATTGGCTCACCGCAGGTAAATGTGTGTTAAATTCAGTACACTGCTGGGCTGCCAACAAAGCGTGGGAAGCAGGGGCAGGTGTGAAACACTTTTTATGATATTCTACTTGTGGCTTATTAAGGGTTTCTCTTGTCACCTTATAAAGCTGCAAATGGAGGGGTGAGCTTCTTTTGCATGTCACCATAATGATGTATGAAGGTTGTGTTCAACAAGATCCTATGTTATTAAACAAAAAGATACCTGTGCAGCTCCAGGAAATATGGGACACTATCAAATTAATACCATTACCATTTTATAATACATAAATACCTTGGATCCTACTTAGGATCTTGAAAACTCTTTAAAATCCTAAAAATCATACATTTTTCCTGTGCTAGGTTGTGCTCTGGGACATGCTATCGTGCCATGCATGGCTGTGTTCCTGCAGGACTTCCAACCCTTTACAGATCACCTAGATCATCCTTTAGAACATGTCTCAGAGATTCTTCGCTCTCATGGACTACCTATGCCAATGGAAAATGGGAGATAAAAGCCAGAAAAGTACCAAGGGATAAGCCCAGGGTCTTCTGTTCATAGTCTTTCTGCAAACTTTGGGCTAGGGACTACTGCACTGCTATGAAAAAAGTCTCCTTCAGTTCTTTACCAATATAAACTTCTGTAGATACATTCATTTCTTACATTTATTTTAGCTGCAGAACAGGGATGGAAGCAATTTTAGCAATCCTACTGATAGGCACTCTATGGAGATATGGAAAAGGGCGATAAATTCAGACAGCAAAACAAAAATACAAAACCGTATTATTGATTCGCTCACTTCAAAGTGTACTTATGCATCTCTGGTGGCTATAACTATTATTTACAGCGATGAACTATTTTCAGACAATGCCAAGAACAAACTTTCATACAGGAAGTGAAGAATCCTATGGGGAAGGAAAAATGCATCAAAAAAATCTTCACAGTCTGTACCCTGCAGCAAAAGGAAACAGAGCGATCTGCTTGGAAAGCGTATGGCTCCCATATAGCTCACGTATGGCCACCAAGAAACCACCACACAGTCCTTATCTCAGCTAAATACTGAAACCAGCCATTGTTCAACTCCCTCTAAACGTGGGACCTCCGGAAAAAATGCTGGACTATTGGGGTAACGCTTCACATAACCTACTGCAAAGGTTCAACGTTGGATTATGGGACACTTCTGGACCGTGGAAACCCCACCAGATGCTAATCCAGTGCAGAATCCAGTGCAGAAAACCTAAATTTTGATATCACCTGGGACTCCCACGGCTTGCGGTGAACACTAAGTGATTTAAACTTGGATTGACAGATACCTCTGCGTGCAGAAATTCAGTAAAATGTGTTCCTCTTGTTGCACTGTGCATTGGGATTGCTGCCCTTGATATGCGTAGGAAAAAAGGAAATGTGAGTCACTGGAGCATTTCTAGCTCAAAAGCTGACACTTCCCCCTTCCCACTGCTCCCTTCATCTCACCTTGCTCTCTCACAAGGTGATTTTTTTTCCTGATCGTGTTACTCATCCTGTTTCCCCATAATGAAGAGGACTCTAGACTTTTCCCTCTGTTTTCCTGAGATATCTTTGCAGGATGGGATCTAGCCGTCCAACCCATGTAACACAGGACACACCACTCTCCATCTGCACAGCAGCCACCAGCACTGG